TTGCCCTTGTTCTCACCTGCCAAGACAAGGACAGAGAAAGCAATATGTCGGAACCTCTACTCAAACTTGCGCTGCCACCAAGAAGTGATGGTCCATTCAAATGCAAGGTTTGCATTCCACTCCTGTATCAGAGGACAAATACTACAAGAGAAGATGCCAAACCTGCATAAGGAAATACCACTTCTGCAAGGGGAGCAAGTAAGGCAAGTGAAAAATGATACATCGAAGCATGTGGAGACAAGCACAACAAATATATGTGTTGATTCGTTCGCTGCTTCTTCAAAAGCAAAAGTATCTCATATCATGCTTTCTCCATGTCATTTCCTTTGTCCTTGTTCTTACTCGCATGGCAAAGTGAAAGAGAGCAATCAGCCGGCACTTGGAGTCAATCTTCCGATCTGGAACCGACTACCTGGAATCTATTCCCTGGTTGCTTACCTAGCGTTGCTCTCGAGTAGTCATCTTCAACGGTTGATACACTTCCAGAGAAGGGACCACATCTGCTTGGAGAACAGCTAAGACGAGTGACAATGAAACATCAATCTTGTGGATCGTCAGCAAACGCAACAACTGCATATGCTAGTCATCCTCTAACCCTCTTCAATATGAATTGGAAAGATTGAACAAAGAAACAGGTCATCACCTCCACCTCGTGCTTGCTTGCCATGTGTCTGAATCCTGAAACCGCTTATGGTCCTATTTTCACTCAAGATCAAGCCTCGATGGCCCTTGAAGAAATCACAAGTCCGATTCAAAATCAAGTGTTCACCACCCTTGAATCAAATTCAACTCCAGATAAAAGGAGTAAGTTCAGGCCTTCGGGGGAGACCAAAAGAATCCTCCAGCCCAGTTCAAGACTAAGCCTGTGGAAAATCAACGATTGGAGGAAACCAGAAAATCTTCCAGTCGAACTCAAGATCAAGCCTCAATGGCCCTTGAAGAAATTTCCAGCCCAATTCAAGATCAAGCCTCGACGGCCCTTGGGTTGACATCTACATTAAGGGACTTCAAAACGCATCTTCTACACGTGTCAAGCACATGTCTACGACGCGCCTTGAAGTGGGGGCATTTGTAGACATCGAAATTTCAGTAAAACAAATGTTCACCAATGCATTAAAGTTTTGACGTGTCAAGGCATACATGGCATACGCCACGTGTTGTACAAATTGTACACATGGCGTGTGACTCAACAAAATAGGAAGAAATACCCTTGAAGGATTAAACAAGTTTTTCTTCTCATTTTGGGCAATGACAAGGCAAGTACATTTCAATCCATTGAGGATCAAAACAAGTTTTTCTTCTCATGTTGGGCAATGACAAGGCAAGCACACTTCAATCCATTACGGATCAAAGCAAGTTTTTCTCATTTGGGCAATGACAAAGCATACACATTTCAAGTTTAAAATGGTGTTAAGTGGGAAATTAGGCCATAAGTTAGACCACTTCAAGTTTAAAATGGTATTAAGTGGGAAATTAGGCCATAAGTTACACCACTTCAATTTCAATATTGCATTAAGTGGGAAAATTAGGCAATGGTGCTTGGAAAGGAAAAAAATATTTTTGTGGTGGTGATTCATTCTCAAAGCCTATAAATAGGCTTCTCCATCAAGGTATCAAGAATCAAGGAATTCACAAATACATTTCTCTACTCCAAAATTAGAAGAGGAATTCCCCAAATCCTTGAAGCTTTGAAACTCCAAAGCTTCCAACCATCCAAATTCCCAAGAATTCCGAAGGATCAAGAAAGCTCTCTTCGTTCTTCGTTAAATCCTCTTTCAAGATCAAGCCCCGACGGCCCTTGAAGAAAGTGTTCATCCGTTCATCCTAAGCATAAGCCCCCAACGGCCCTTTGGATCAACAACCTCAACAAATCCACACATCCAATCGTTCTTCAAGATTAAGCCCCAACGGCCCTTGAAGATCCGCTCATCCATCAACCTTCAAGATCAAGCCCAAAAGCCCTTGAAGAAATCCACACAACCATTATTCAAGATCAAGCCCCGAAGGCCCTTGAAGAAAGTGTTCATCCGTTCATCAACTGTTCATCCTTAGATCAAGCCCCGATGGCCCTTTGGATCAACAACTCATCCACAAACCTACACCCTACGAAGATAGAATCAGAGGACCAAATTTGAGAGAGATCGTAACCCCAAAATCATAAACACAAAAATATTATTTGGTACACGTTATTCTTGTTTCTTGTTTCAAGGAACTTTCGTGTTCACAAGAGCGTTCCTAGGATGGGTGACCCATTGGGAAGTTCTCATCTGAGTTCCTAGAAAACAAAACCATGAGGGCGTGGCCTAAAGCGGACAACATCATGCCACGGCTGAGCCGGTCTGGGATGTGACAAAATGGTATCAGAGCCACTCTGTCGTGGGGTCCAAGTGTGCCAAAGAGGACGTCGGGCCCCTACGGGGGGTGGATTGTAACATCCTACATCGACCAACGGAGAGGGAGTCATGTGCCTTATATGTACATGCCCACCTCCATATAGCGCGAGGCATTTCGGGAACTCACTGGCTTCGGATTCAATCGGAACTTCGAAGTTAAGCGAGTTTGGGCGAGAGCGTTCCTAGGATGGGTGACCCACTAGGAAGTTCTCGTCTGACTTCCTAGAAATAAAACCATGAAGGCGTAGCCCAAAGCGAACAATATCGTGCTATGGCGAAGCCAATCTGGGATGTGACACTCATGAAATTTGGAATTTACAGATTTCGTGTTCTCACAAAGCCTATTTACAGAGGCCATAACTTTGTCAATATGCATCCATTTTATGCATATTTTATGTCGTTAGAAAGTTTAGATTACTGTCTACAATTAAGTCTTCTTGGGTGAATTCCAAAAACAAAAGTTTCAATTTTTTCTCTAACCGCTTGGTTTTTCTTTACCAAATTTTAAACATAATTTTAAATGAATGTAAAGAACATATCCCAAGCATTAAAATCCAGAAATAACATATCCAAAAAGCATGGCATATTCATAAATATCTCATGTAATCATACGAGGAGTGTGTGAGTGGCTTTGATACCACTATTGGAAGAACGTACATACCTTTGTGCGGAAGCTTGAATCTCGACACACTCCTACAAACACGAACAAGTGCTTGTTCTTCTGTGCACATCTAGAACCTTGAAGGTCATCGAGTTGGTTACAGTATGTCGAGTTGCCATTGGTTTTCACCTCCCAAGACCTAGGGCAAATAGTGATAGCCCTAGAGACCTGACTAGAATATGTGAACTTTATGGAAAAGCATTGTGTTTCTCTCACACTAGTTTCTCTCTTCCCCTAAGCATCCTTATATAGCTTTAGGAAAAGGATGATACAATGAATGAAATGTCATTTCACATTCCAAACTGATATGGCTTTAGACATTCATCTAATTACTACATTAGTAATTAGGTTGTTAATATCTTCATGTGGGTGGACTCTTCACCTTATGGAATTTATCATATTAGATAAATCCTACATATACAAGTCTACTTGCTACCTAATCATCAATGGCTAACTCTACAAACGAGGTTTTACCCTTCCATTCTTGAGGTGTCTTCCTACTAAGGGGGAAGTTGTCCTTCAAGAGATACATAAAGGAGTCTGCAGAGATCTTGCTGAATCCAGGTCCTTAGCACACAAGGCTTTTCACCAAGGATATTATTGGCCAACACTTCACCAAGATGCCATCAAAATATCTCACTCATGTGACAAGTGTCAACGCTACGCAACCATTCCTCACTCCTATGATTAACCCTTGGCCCTTCGCCCAGTGGGGACTTGATTTGATGGGCCCAATGCTTGTGGGGAAGGGCAAAGTCCACAATGCGATCGTTGCAGTTGACTACTTCACAAAGTGGGCCAAAGTAGAACCCTTGGCAACCTTGGAAGAACATCTTTTGCATATTCAACATTCCTAATGCAACTGTCACTAACAATGGGCGACAATTTGACAACAAAAAGTTCTAGATTTTCTACTCTAAGTTCAACATTAACTTATGTTTCGCCTTCCCCGGCTCATCCTCAGGCTAATGGACAAGTTAAGGCCATCAAAAAGATAATCAAGCGCACCTTGAAGACCATCTTGGACAAGGCTAAAGATTGTTGGCCAGAACTTGTACCCTAATTTATTTGGTCATACCAAACTTCATATCAAACTTTAACAGAAGAAACTCCATTCTCACTTGCCTTCGGTGCAAAGGTAGTTGTCCCATTTGATCTTGAGCAAGCAACATACTGAGTTAAGAACTACATGTAAAGTGAAAATGACAAACAACTCACCCTCAACTTAGATCTAATAGGAACATAGGGACCAAGCTCACTTGAGGAACATCCCTTACAAGCAACTCGTCTCCAACTACTATAACACTAGGGTTAAACCTTGCTCTTTCAAAGTGGGGGACTGGGTATTGAAGAAAAGACTACTTTGTGATAAGGTCCCAAGCGAAGGCACACTTAGTCCAAACTGGGATGGACCATTTGAAGTTGTTGGCATCAGTTGCCCTGGTTCCTACAAACTCAGAAGTTTCGATGGCAAGACCCTTGGCCATCCATGGAACGTTGATCACCTAAAGTACTATTACAAGTAGACTCAAGTTCTATAAGCATTGAGCTATAACTATTCGGCATCTTTTGTAATGAAGACTATTTGGCACGAACTTAACAAAGAGATGATTCAGACAAATTCGTCTAACTCTTTCACATTCCTAGTACTAAAGCACATGGTCTCACCCTGACCTAATAAAATCCTAACTCAGAGCTTCAACTTAAATGACACCGCATACTTGAGTTCAAAGCTTCAACATGAATGCTTTCAACATGAAATAAATTCTAAGTATCTTGTCAACAAGACGAAGCAAATAAACAAACATCTTTAAGCGTATTCATTCAACTATACTCAAGTCATGCGTTATATCTAAACAAAGGATCCATTCAAAGATAGTCAAGCATTCGTAAATGATAGTGCAAACACTTGGCACTTAGCATCAAAATAAATGTTGCAATGTTGTAAACATCCATAAACAAAAAGCCTTCAAGTGCCTAACTTAACACATAGCATATATACAACAAACTAGTGCATGTAGGAGTTGAGGGCACTACGAATCATCCTCATCTGAGGCCGAACTCTTGATAACATCATGTTACATCTCGCCTCCATCGCCATCCTCAGCATCTCTAAGTCTATCCTCACCCTGCTGAGTCTGGTCATTGGTTTTGGCACCATCCTCAAACTCCTCATCACTACTGGGATCGAGTTCAAGGACAAAGGGTTCACCATTTCGTCGATGCTCCTCCATCTCTTCATGGTACTTGTCGATGATGCCTCCGTCGTGGTATTGCTCAAGAATGGCCATCCATTTCCTTTTGTCAAGCCGAATCTCCTAAGCACAGTGAGGCCTGATGACATGGCGGAAGGTCGGGTGCCCAAGTACTTAGGCACGGCAGCTTCCCTCTCAGTTGGGAGACTCTTTTTCTACTCAGAAATCTAAACCAGGGCACTATCCCACTCCCCTCTGACCTTGGAAGCCTTGAGGATAGTCGCCTCCAACTGCTTTTTGAGCCGTAAGTTCTCATCATTTCGCCTCTTCAACCTCTCTAAGGTTTGGTCCTTGAGCTGGACGACCTCAGTTCAAGCATTGCGCCCCTTCCTGGTGTCATCCATAAGCTACTTGTTCTCTTGAAACTTCGCCTTGTATCACTTGACCTCTTGTAGTCTGTCGTCCTACTTGGTTATGACCTACATGACAAAATGATTGTCAGTGTCCAGGGAAAATGAAGACAAAGGAAAAAGAGGAGAAAGTAAGGAAATGACAAAGTAATACTTACAAAATCAGAAGCCTCATCATCATGTCATGATCCGATTCATTCTCAAATAGTGGCTCGTCAAACTCGTCAACAATGGCTCAGCGCCCTGCAAGGCAATTGTTGATGTACCTAAAGCTATTTGGCTGCATGGCAACCTTCAAGTCCTTCCAGGGGATGCTATCAGCCTCTTCCTTATACTTCCTTTTGAGGCTGGAGTTAGGGCCACCTTCCTAGCCAGCATGCTCCATGATCAGAGGAAATATAGGATCGATGTTAGGAGGAAGAGGCATTAGTCGTTTCAACTCCCCAGCAATTTTGGCAACAGCCCATCCGATGGCCCTAACTTCATCCTTCTTGGAGGCAACAATCTTAAGGACCTCCTCTTGAGACTTAAGGCTTGGGGATTGGCCTCACCCTGTGTTTGCGAGCCCCTTTGTGAAACAGAACGTCGTATAAGGGAACTACCATGGTTGTCTTCCATTTCTTGGTGCTCTAGTCTCCCCTTTCTTGCTCACCTTCTCCACTGAACAAGGAAAATCAAAGTAAGGAATACAACTTTGCTTGAAGAAATACAACTTTATTTATTAAAAAACAAAAAAACAAAAAAAAAAACAAAAAAAAAAGGGCAAACGTAGGATATGACTTACTCACTCGTCTCTGGCACTCAGACAATAAGGGCTAGAAAAAAAAACAAAAAAAAAAGGGCAAACGTAGGATATGACTTACTCACTCGTCTCTGGCACTCAGACAATAAGGGCTAGAAACTATACTTTTGAAACAAGGGTTGTAGCTTGCCCAAGTGTCAATCCTCTTTTGTCCAAACAATTTGATAGCCTCCTTCAACACTACATAAGGCAAAGTGTTAGAAGCAAGTAAAGATCACAACAAATAACAAAGTATGCAAACAATGGATGCATTACAATACGGTCTGGAAGTGGATAGAAATGTGTCGCTCAGGTGTGGTACTTCTATCATGCTCCCAACCCTTGTAAAGGAAGCACTAACAGTTTTTCCAAGTAGAATATGATTTTCTCTTATCAAAGACTATACTCTTTTTCTCACTCCAACACACACACTCAACATAGCCCGTGGACGACTTGACCAGACGCATCTTATAGCAATACCGCCATTGAGGGAATGAAGGTTCACCTAGACCACACTCCATCCAGATGATGTAAGCCCCAATCAAAGTCTCCCATAAACCAAGATTGAGTTGCCTAGGCACGTACCCCATGAGGGCAATCATCTTTGGTAACCACGGATGCAACAGAAACTTCACCCTCCTTACGGTAGGCAATTCTTCATCGTGCACCAAGCGCATTGCTCCGCTCTCAGGTATGCAACAAGACTCCCTTAAGGCCTCAAGTTGACGCCTACTATCTAGCAAGTTCGTATCTAAGCGGTCCGCCATAAACTCGGAGTGAAAGATAGGTATAGCATCGAGGACACCCTCCTCAACTACCGACACGTGGGAAGTAGATGCAACAATATCTGAGGCTCTGTCCCTAGACCTATACTTTTCACCCGCCTCTTCATCTAATGGAAGGGACACTTGGTGATCATGAAAGTCACCCAACACTTCCTTTTCATAAGACTCCAAGGAAGTCCTTGACGGCTCAAACCTAGAGCCAGAGCTAGAGAAGCCCTCATCACTAGAACCTTTAGACCCTGACATCTACAACAAACAGAAACACACAACTCTTTCACTACATGGAGGATTGAAGTCTAAAATGCTCCTAAGTCATGATGGAAATTCAACTAGTTCATCATGTTCTTAGCCAAATGCATAGAAACTCAAACAATTCAACAAGAATGGATGCATTTGATCTAAATAAAGGGCTACTAACCAGAGAATGGTGTCAAGCAATGTCGAAACCCCTCTCTGAAGGAAAAATTTTGTCCTAGCTAAGAACATGTAAGAACATTTGAATACATATGCAAACTAATAACACTTTAAAGTAGGCATGCATTCAAAAACAATTCATAAAACCCATGACTTTCAAAGCCTAGTATATGGTGAACCATAAGACTCTTTAACAATATTAAAGAGAATAAGAATTTAGAGATTCTTTACCGTTGAAGCTCATCCTTGATTGCACAAGGGATTCACCCAAGTGGAGGGCCTTCAAGTCACCTCCTTGCTCCTTGGATCTTCCTTGTGATTTCCTCCCTTTTAGTGCTCCTTTTCTTCTTTGAGGATTTGAGGATTTGTTCTCCAAAACACCAAAGGTTTGGTGTCTCTAAGTCTCCACACCAAAGATGTAGTGTGAAGATGAAATGGATGACTTAGGGAAGAAAAGATTGCTAGATGTTCCTCCCCTAAGGTGGCCGGCCTCTATGTAGAAAATGAGAGAAAATGTTTCACTCAAATTCTATTAGAAAACCCCTAATGAGAAACAAAGCTATAAAGATGACTTTATACTTCATCTCTTAGGTTAGTGGCAAACTTGCAATTAAGCAAAAGTTCCCACTACCCTTGATATGGCCGGCCTCCATTTGTTATTGGGCTTAATTGCCCATTTTGTTTTAGTTGTCATACAACTTAAACATAATGGGCCTTGTGGACCAAAACGTTTTTTGTGCCCCGAAGCCCAAAACTAACTTAAACGCCCAATACGAGCGTTTCGTATAATTAATTAACTATTTAATTAATCTTGACCATTCTTCAATTAAACCATTTAATTGCTTATCCATTTCATATAATTTCTTCACTTATATCCTTACTCGGTGTACGATCCATTAGGTTCCAATTAGCGAGGTAGTGGGCGATGTTACTCTTAACGATCGATTGTGAATTGAAACCACATTTCAATTCTCCCTTAAAATTAGTGTTTGCTAATATTTAGGGCTTCCACAAGCCATGGGTGACGCCTAGCAGCATGTCATGGTTACCCAAGCTAAGTAGAAGTGGTTGGAGAACCTATCCAGTTACAACTACAATGCAATACGGTCCTTCTCTAATACAATACTCTTAATCACATTGTTTAAGTGATAGTTTGTTTCATGTCTACTATCCAATGTGATACTTCTCTATATGATTCAATTGAATAAGATTTGGAACAAGCTTCCTTAGTCATATTCATATGCTTTGGCCAAAGACTCTCGAATCATATCTTAGAGTATTCTCCTTCCACCATGGAAGGTTAGAAATCCCTTGTTGTGCATTCATATGCCTACATGACTAGATAGCTTGACCCCAACAATGCCGTGGACACTCCAATGGAATGCCGTTGACATAATCAAAGATCAAGGACCTAACCATTAGACATCAATGATGCCTCAGGTCAAAGGACTACTTTGCATATTGCAACTATTGAGTTCTCACATGACATGTATGTTCGAACTCTCGTTTGATCGTTGTTCAGTGTACTCGATTACTCTTTCGAGCACCTATGTGTTTGCCTTAGTGTCCAACACCAAATGACTTGAGACTAGTTCATACTCACGCTTGAGTCGACATAACACATACTAACCTTAGCGGATTGTCAATGCCCAATTGGCAATCCTATGGCTAGGAACGTTTTAGGAATGAACATAAGAGAAAGGTCTCGTTAATTTAACTAACTTAAATCACTTGTCTCTTAGATCAAATACATTCCTTGGATTCCCTTATTGCTTAAACACAAGATACTATAAATAGTGATTAACAATAAGCTTTGCCCTCTATTAAACATATAAAAGTTTAACACAATAAGTATTCCAAAAAGCTATTACATCAAATGAGTGGCTTTGTGGGCATACTTCTAACAATCTCCCACTTGCACTCAAAGCCATCTTCCCATGTATCTAATACCCATCTTTTCTATATGACGGTCAAGCTGGATTTGAGACATTGGCTTTGTCAGTGGATCTGCTACGTTATCGGCTGAAGCAACTTTGAGGATGTTGATTTTCCCCTCGGCAGCATATCTTCTAATGATATTAAAGCGCCTGTCAAAGTGCTTGTTCTTTTGATGTGCCCTGGGTTCCTTGGCTTGAGCTATCGCCCCACTATTATCACAGTACAAAGTTACTGGTGATGTAATGGTTGGAACCACTCCAAGTTCAGTAATGAACTTTTTCATCCAGAACGCTTCTTTGCCGGCTTCAGCTGCAGCGACATATTCAGCCTCTGTCGTGGAATCGGCAATTACACTTTGTTTCTTGCTTTTCCAGCTGACAGCCCCACCATTCAGAGTGAATACATATCCGGAGTTGGAACTTCTATCATCGACGTCAGATTGAAAATCTGCGTCTGTATAGCCTTCCACTCGCAACTCTGTCGCTCCTCCATAAACGAGGAACATGTCCTTAGTTCTTCTTAAGTACTTAAGGACCGTCTTGACAGCTACCCAGTGTTCTGATCCTGGGTTAGATTGATATCGACTAGTAATGCTCACAGCATATGCGATATCAGGCCTTGTACATACCATGGCATACATAAGACTTCTTATGGCGGAAGCATAAGGAATCATATTCATATGCCGTATCTCTTCAGGAGTCTTAGGTCCCATGGACTTAGAAAGATGAATTCCATGTCTTACAGGAAGAATACCTTTCTTAGATTGTTCCATCTGGAACCTACTTAGCACCTTATCAATGTACATAGATTGGGATAATCCAATTAATTTTCTGGATCTATCACGATAGAGCTTTATCCCAAGTACATAAGATGCATCTCCTAAATCTTTCATGTGGAAGGTTTTGGACAACCACACTTTTACAGAAGAAAGTACTGCAGTGTCATTCCCGAATAGTAATATGTCATCTACATATAACACTAGGAATGCAACTGCTTCCCCAACGACCTTTTGATAAACACAATTGTCGTCTTCGTTTTGAGTAAAACCAAACGATTTGATTTCAGTATCAAAACGAATGTTCCAGCTCCTGGAGGCTTGCTTAAGTCCATAAATGGACCTCTGAAGTTTGCATACCTTAGTCTTTTCAGACTTGGACACGAAACCTTCAGGTTGAGCCATATAAAGCTCTTCCTCTAGGTAGCCATTCAGAAAGGCTGTCTTCACGTCCATTTGATGTGAGAATTACTTGACACTCAAATTAAACCCTCGTTTGACAATTGTAGTAGAATGGATAAGTGAGGGATCGTTCTAGACCGGGGATTAGGAGGGCTTGCTAAAACCTTCTAAATTGACTTAAAAACATAAAAACTAAATTAAAACAGATTTAAGACACTTGGGAACAAGGAAATAAAAAAGGGGGTTTTAGTTTTGACGAAGTTGAAATAAACAAACAAAATGCAAAAATGGACAGATTGTAAACAAGTGTTGTGAAACAAGATGGTTGGTGAATTAGCTAGAGGTTCTTTCTCCACACATGATATTTATGCATATGAATCAATTTCCAGTTATTCCTTCATTGAATTATGAACGACAATGCCCCAAATTAACCGTGACATCACTAGTTAACCCTCAGATTTTCCTTATATTATTGGATTGGATGGCATCATTCGACAACCCAAAACATTCTCAAAAGTTCCCTACATGTCATCATAATAGAGATACAATCGAAGATCATTAAGAATAATAAAAACCATAAGCATTGACAAAGCATTTGCAACTATGACATCATGTTACTCATGCTAAGAATTAAACTTAACGCGATCGTGACAAGCGACCTTCACTACTTTCAAGTATAAGTTAGTAACGATTATGTGAAACCTTCTTAAACTTTAGCCACATATTCATGCATGCTAATTAAGTGTCGACCCTCAATCAACAAACACAAATAAGTTAATCATCAAATAGTTAAGCCAATTGCATTCACGAATCAAGAGTTCATAACCGGAATTCATCAATTCATATCACATAAATAATCATGGTATTGAAATCACCCCTAGCCAAAAAGGGTTTAGTTCCTCATATTTGCAATAAAACAGATACAAACAAATTTAGACATAGAATAACAAAGTAGAAAACACCTAGAACGTTCCAACAACTCCAATTGAAGAGCCAAACAATTGCACAGAATCTGTCCCCTTTCCCTTGCTTGCGGCAGGTTGTGTAGGTGTAGTTTCTGGGCTGTTTTGATGATGTAGAATGGAATGAGGAAGGTGTAGAAGCACGGCAAGGGTAGTAGGGTGAGTATGGATGAGTGTTTAAGGGTTGGAAGAAGGTGGAAGGCTTGGCAAGGAGGGAGGAAGGCTGCGGCAAGGGCTAAGGGTTTTCTGCAGTGCTGTTTTTATTTTTTGGAATGTAGAATGAGTTCTAGGGTATATATTTCGGCCAAGGGGGTTAAATTATGTATATATAGGCATCCAAAACCCTAGGGCAATCAGATTAGGGCCTTTAAAAACCCAAATCCATCAGAAATTAGGTTAAAACAATTGGGTTTTTAAGTGGAACAAGGCCTAAGGTGCGGCAAGGGCTAGGGTGAGTGAATGGGCTTCCTAAAATACCTTGCAAGGCAAGGAAATCAAGTCAATGGACCCTAGGTGCCACGGCAAGGGTTAGGGGAAAAGGAATGGCCCATCTAAGAGCCCAAAGCCGAGAATAGAAAGTTTCGAAAATGGAAATTTCCAAGAATGGAAACTTCCAACTTAAGAAACTTTGATCTCCAATTCCGAATTCTTTGTTCTTCACTTTCATTTCTTCATCCGTCTTGAATTTCCAATCTTCACATCACCATTCACTTCTTGGCTCAAATGCACTTCGAATTCATCCTCTCGTTTAGCTCCAAGCATGTCCAAACCAACATAGGCCCAACTTGCTCCAAAACGCTCCAAAATGCACCTTAATGCATATTAGGCCCTTAGAACCTGAAAACACACAAAAGTAGTTTAAAGAGCTAAAATAAATAAGAACTAACAATGTAAATGCACGAAAACAAGCATACTAAGTCGCATAAATATGCTCGTATCAGAGGCTTGCTTAAGTCC